TGGGATGCAACGGCTTGGACTGGGCTGCATGGCTTGCTCTGGGCTGCAAGGGCCTGGACTGGGCTGAAAGGCTTGCAATGGGCTGAAAGGCCTGGACTGGGCTGCAAAGGCCACCTCTGGGCTGCAAGGCCCGGGCTGGGCTGCAATGCCTGGACCGGGTTGCAAAGGCCTGGACTGGGCTGAAAGGCCTGCACTGGGCTGCAAGGCTTGAAGCAGGGTGCACAATGAACGGCGAACTAGATGCGATGAGGAGGGTCGATGAAGATATTGCGGCGATGAGTTTTGGAGGAGGAGGAGAGAGAAGGCGAGACAGAACAATGGAGGAAGAAGGTACAAGAGGAGGAAGCCGTAAGAACGGAGAGACAGGGAGAAGGTGGGAGAGAGAGAGAGAGAGAGAGAGAGAGAACAAAAAAAAACAGAGAGAAAACGAGAGAGACGAGGATGATGAAGATGAGGGTGCGGAGGATCGAGACAACGACGGTAAGGATGAGTACGATGAGCGAGGAGCGTGAGGATGAGACTGAGAAAAGAGCAGTCACGGCCATTCAGCACGGAGTGCTGGTGTGTGTGTGGGGGGGGGCATATATGTGCGTATGTATCTATTTATCTATACAGAGAGCGAGAGAGAGAGAGAGAGACAGAGAAACACAGAGAAAGAGAGAGAGAGAGAGAAAGATAGAAAGAGAGAGAGAGAGGGAGAGAGAAAGAGGGACAGATGTACATATTGACGACGAAGTATGCGGTCGGACACCCTCCGCAGTGAGGCAAACAAACGCAGAGGTGCCACCTGCAAGCGCCCGCACGCACGCGATCACGCGCACGCACACAGATGAGCACACGGCTGAACTGCGAGTCCGGGGCCTCACCGAGAGGACTGGCCGAGGCGTCGGCCCGCTGCTCCTCCGCAGCCATTTCGGCCTCGGCGCCCCTCGGCCTCGGCGCCCCTCGGCCGCGGCAGACCGGCCCCAGCCGCCCCCGTGGAGGGCCCCGCCCTCCCCGAGCGACTACCCAAGAGCTTTTTCAAGCCTCCTCGGGCATGCGGGCCGCGGCCCCCCCCCGACGGCCGAAGGCCGACGGCCGACGGCCGACGGCGACGACGACGACGACGACGACGACGACGACGAAGACGACGGCCGACGGCCGCCGGCCGCCGGCCTACGACGACGACGACGACGACGACGACGACGACGACGACGACGACGACGACGACGACGACGACGACGACGGCGACGACGACGACGACGACGACGACGGCCGCCGGCCTACGACGACGACGACGACGACGACGATCACGACGACGACGACGACGACGACGACGACGACGACGACGACGACGACGACGAGCGCGGGGCTCGCGGCGCAGGGCTTCGACCGGGGGGGGGAAGACGTGCCTGCTGGCCCCGAGGGACAACGGGTGACATACACGTGACGTTGCGGAGCTCCTCGCAGAGCGCTTGGATCGGCGCCGGGCCACCCCTGGCGGCGCCCCAGTCGCCGTCCCTGGCGAGCTTCGCGCGCCAGGGATGTGTCCACTGCCGATCCAAAACGTTGTACTTATGAAGTGCTCTTAGCTGTCCTGGTACGCGCGCGTTGAGACGCAACACGCACCGTGTTCGAAACGTCAGAGTCAACGCGCTGCGTGTTGGCTTTGCAAGTTTTGGTCAACGTTTTGGCGACTTTCTCGTGCCCGATCTTCGCCTTCAGTCTACGTGTTGAGCTCCGTATCAGCACGCTACGTGTTGCGCGTTGCATATCGGGGCAGTTGCGGTCATATGTTGTTCCTCGCTGGCAGCCGCCGCGCCGCAGAAGGCAGCACTTTGCTTCGGTAGCAAATCATGAGAGCTTGGTGTGTATATATACATATATATATATATCCTCTTAATTATGTCTTCAGCGTCGAGATAGCGCCCATTCAGCGTCGATCTGGCGTCGATCTAGCGTCGATCTGGCGTCGATTGGCGTCGGCGCAGCTCCGCCCGGCGTCGGTTCGCTTGAGCCGACAACGATGCTGTGGGAGGCTCCCGTGAGTTGCCACCGAAGCTTTGACGGGGCAACCCGGACCACGAAGCGCGAAGCGAGGATCGCTTCGCGCCCCCGAGGGCGCCCCTCGAGCTCGGGCCCGCCGGAGGTGCGTTCGGATCACCCGAGGCCTCGAGCGTCCTCGGCGGGGCCGCTCCCCGAGGGGCCCATCGCAGTGCCAGCGCGCGCCTCTCTCGGGGGCGGGCCGCCGCGAGCGACCGAGGGGCATGCGGCTCGCGGCCCTGCGGGCGCCCGCGGCCCGCCGCGGCCGCGGCCCGCCCGCGGCCCGCCCGCCGCCCAGGCGCGGGCTCGCCGCGGGCCCGGCCGCGGCCAGGGCGGCGTGCGGGGAGGCCGTGGCCGTCACCTTCGAGGACTGCCGCTGCCCCGACACGCGCGGGTCATGGCGCCAGCGTCTCCAGGGAGGGAAAACCACCCAGACCGGACACTTGGCGTTTACTGAGGGCCCTGGGCGTTTACTAAGGGCCCTGTCTGATTCCTTCTGTGGGTGCGTTTGCTGAAAGACTTCGCGCAGCCCTGGCCTGTCAGATTCCTTCTCTGGGTGCGTTTGCTAAAAGACGTCGCGTGTCGGGGTGGTTATTGTCGGGGTGATTTTTTTGCCCTCTAACATCGCAGAGCGGATATCGTTCGGAAACCGATCGGGTGGGCCTGGGGCCTGGGGTGTCCTGGAGAATGTCGTTCTGGATTTCGAGGTGGACTTCGTGCGTTTTTTTTTCCGGCCAGGAATGAAGACTTTTCTTCGGCCAGGAATGAGGAGCAAAAATATTCCACGCGACATTCGCTTCGTTGTTCGCTCGCCGCTTCGGGTAAAGATCCACGCGGAAATCCACGCACAAAATCAGCTGCCGCACGTCTGCAAGCCCGGTGCAATGACACTGGTTCACACGCGACGCGTGCAGTGTTCGACACGTGTTAGGTTTAAGTGGGGCCTGTCCCTCTACAAGAGGAATATTTAAGCATAGCAAAAAAGATCGTCAGGGAACGATGTTTTGAGCATTGTTTTGGCCATGTGGGGGTATTTGTTGACTATTTGTTTGTTCTTCGTCCAAAATCCCCCTGTAGGGGGACGCGCCCGACCTAGTGTTAGGTGCTCGCTTGGGGGGATCTTCCTGGGGCTCACCGAACGGAGCCGTCCGACTCGGTTCGGCCCCGGTTCGGGGCTTTGTGGGCCCCGGCAACGGCAGGGCCGTTTTTTCACCGTTTCCAGAAAAATGTCCCTTGAAAATGGAAACGGCAAAAAAAACGGCTCCAGGATTGGAACCGGAGCCGGAACCGGTCAAAAAACAGCGACGGAACCGGTAAAAAAACGGCGTCGGAACAGGCGAAAAAACGGCAAAACAGAACCGGTGACAAAAACGGCCCTGTCGTTTCCAGGGCCCACTAGGGCCCTCTCGCTGCCGCTCGAGACAACGGCGGCCTGCCCTGTCGCGGGGTGTATCCTTCGTGCGTCTCCTCTCGGGGGCTTCCGTCGCCACGGCCAGCTCGTTAGGCCCGCCTCGAACACCAGGTCACGAGGTCGAGCAGTGGCGAAGCGTCTTGGCGTGCCTATAGGCCTACCGAAGAATGGTCTAGGAACCTTTTGTGGACTCCACGAAGTGTTCTTAGAACATTTCTGGCTGGGGCAGTCTTGGTTGAACACATCGTTCGGGCTTATGTTTTAAGAACGTTGTTTTTGTTCTTCGAACATTTCTGGCTTCTAAGAACGTTCCGTGGTAGGCCTATAGAACTGCCGGGACGGTCGGTCCCTGCTCAACGAGGGGCCCCGGGAGGGTTCTGGGGGCCGACTTTGAACGGAATGTGGGCGTGCGGGGGACGCCGTGGCCGCGACGTTCGAGGACCTTCGCTGCCCTGAGACGCCCCGGTTGTCGGTAGCAGATCACGGGATCCTGGTCTGCCCTCCTATTTCCCTCTTGAGCGTCGACTGGCGTCGATTGGCGTTTGGGAGTCGATGCGATAGCGCCGATTTAGCGTCGGGTAGCGTCGATGAGCGTCGATCTAGCGTCGATTTCGCTTCGATTGGCGCGACTAGCGTCGACTAGTGTCGATTCGCAAGAGCCGACAAGATGGTATGGGATGTTCCCATGAGTTGCCACCGAACCTTCGCTGATGCGCCCCGGTTGACGCGCGACACGCGCCGCGTTCCCAGAGGGGTTCCAAAGGGTGGTTTTGGAGAGGGGGTTCTCCAGAGAGCCCCCCAGGGGCCTCGGAACCTCGTCGAAACAGAGGGTGCGAAGCCCCTGGGGGACCCCTCCTGGAAAACCCCCTTCCCCCAAAGCCTTTTTGGAGCCCTCCGGGCGTTGGAAAAACCCACCACGTCAAAGCGCCTCGTGCCGGTGCCGCACGTGGGCCGAAGCTTTGGCCAGCGGTGCCGCGCTCTTGCAGAAAAGACCTGCCACTGACGGGGTCTCCGCGGCTCCTCTCTGGCAGGCTCCGAAGTTCTTCACGACCCGAGGGCGCTCTGGCCGTCGGCGGCCCTCCTCCTCCTCCTCCTCCTCCTCCTCCTCCTCCTCCTCCTCCTCCTCCTCCTCCTCCTCCTCCTCCTCCTCCTCCTCCTCCTCCTCCTCCTCCTCTCCTTCCCTCCCGGCCCTCTCCGCCACCTCGCCGCGCGAGTGCCCAGTTCGCACCGCAGCAGCCGTGCCGCCTGCCGTAGCCCAGACCGCCACCTGGACCCAATGTTCAGTCGGGCGTGTCCCTCTGAAGGCGGGATGTCCAGAAATAGTCAAGACATAGTCTGGGGACGCTTTGAATATTTTTGAGCACGTTTTGTTCATTTTCTCTCCTCAAAAATGTGCCTGCAGGAGGGCATGACCGACCTGAACCCAAACGCCGCCGACCAAGAAACATACCGTACCGGATCGAGAGATCACATGTTGATTCAACATGTGGGCCTTCCATCTGGCGGGTGCATGCGACCAGGCCCCCGCTTTGAATCTGCGTGCCGGGCCACGCGACCGCACGCTCTTGGCTGCGTGTCGCGCGTATCAGGGCAGCCAAGTCGAGGACGGGCTGGTGCAGAGGTTCCACTGGCTGTGGCTGCGCGACAACTGCCAGCACGAGTCGCAGATCACGGCCAACGGCCAGCGCCTGTTCGAGACGGCCGACCTGGTGCGCGCACACCGGGCCGGCCGCGCCGCGGAGCCGGCCAGCTTCGAGCTGCCGCGCGGGCGCGGCCACCTGCTCGTGTCTTGGAAGGACGGGCACTCCTCCAGGTTTTCCTTGGAGTGGCTGCGCGCGCACGCGTACGACCAGCTCGACGAGGCCAGGCGCTCTCTGGCCGCCGCGGCCACGAGCGCGGAGGGGAGCTTCCTGTGGGGAAGCGGCCTTGCCGGCCTCCTGCCAGAGGTCGGGTTCGAGGACCAAGGGCCACCCGAGGGGGGCAGGGCTCAGGGGGGGGGGGGGCCCGACCCGCAATCGCCCACTCATCGCCGACAGGGGGCGGGACAGCCCGCTCCGCCCAGGACCGTGCGGATTCGATTTCGGGGGCCCATCTCCGATCCATCGCTGTTGCATCGCCGAGTCCAGATCGGTGATCCCACCTGAGCCAGTCCAGCCCCCCCTGTCGCTGCCGCGCAGAGGAGCTTCAGGCGCGCAGAGGGCGCGTGAAGTTCTCCTGGCTCCTCGAGCGGTTCGGCTTCGTGCTGGTGCGCGGCGTGCCCGTGGAGCCGGGGGCCGTGGAGCGGGTTGGCAACATGCTCGGATCCGTCCGCCGGACCAACTACGGCACGGTGTTCGACGTGCTGGACCGCGGCCCGGACGCCAAGAACCTGGCGGACACCGCCATGTCCATCACGCAGCACACCGACAATCCCTACAGGGACCCGGTGCCCGGCGTGCAGCTGCTGCACTGCCTGGTGCAGGCCGACTCGGAGGGCGGAGAGACGCTGCTGGTGGACGGCTTCGCGGCCGCGGAGAGGCTCCGGGCGCGCTCGCCCAAGGCCTTCGAGCTGCTCGCGCGCCAGCCGCGTGCCTTCCGCTACGTGGACGCGGAGCAGGGCACGGACCTCCGCACCGATTCCTCGCCAGTTCTCGAGGTGGACGAGCCCAGCGGCGCCGTCAGGAGTCGTCGGGGAGAAAGGAAAGCCCCTGTCCCCAATAACACGATGGAGACGTGGCCTCACACTGAGGTTCCCGTCTCTGCCTTCGGGATCAAACATCTAGAGGCGGTTGGGTTCGATACATCTGCAGAAAAGAGACCCCCTCCATCCCTGATGTCTTTGGCCCTCCTAACGTAGGCCCCCTCCCAAAGAGGGGTCTTTGAATGGCTACTCCAGGAGGGTCCGCTTCAACAACCGCTCTGCCGCGCCGCTGCGGGCCCCCTGCTCGGGCGCTGCCATATGAGTGGCCTGGGCCCGAGGAGGCCCCCAGGAGTTTCCGGGGGGAGCCCACCGCGGCGGTCAGGGCGGCCCTCACTTTTTTCTCCTCCTTTTCCTCTTCTTTCTCCTCCTCGTTCTCCTGCTCCTCCTCCTCCTTCTGCTCCACTTCCTATCATTATTACCACTACTACTACTACTACTACTACTACTACTACTACTACTACTACTACTGTGGCTACTACTACTACTACTACTACTGCTACTACTACTACTACTACTACTACTACTACTATTACTACTACGACGACGACTAATACTACCACGACTACTACTACTACTACTACTCCTACTACTACTACTACTACTACTGTGACTACTACTACTACTACTACTGCTACTACTACTACTACTATTACTACTACGACGACGACTAATACTACCACGACTTTTACTACTACTACTACTACTACTACTACTACTATTACTACTACTACTACGACTACTACTACTACTACTACTACCTACTACCACTAATACTAGTAGTAGTACTACTAGTACTACTACTACTACTACTACTACTCCTACTACTCCTTACTGCTACTACTACTATCACTACTACTACTACTACTACTACTAATACTACTACTACTACTGCTACTACTTCTACTACTACTACTACTATTACTACTACTACGACGACTACTACTACTACGACTACTACTACTACGATTACTATTACTACTCCTACTAATACTACTACTACTACTACTACTACTACTACTACTACTACTACTACTACTACTACTACCACTACTACTGCTACTACTACTACTACTGCTACTACTACTACTATTATTACTACTACTACTACTACGACTACTGCTACGACGACGACTACTACTACTACTATTGCTAATGCTACTGCTACTGCTACTACTACTACTACTACTACTACTACTACTACTACTACTACTGCGACTGCTACTACTACTACTACTACTTTACTACGACCACTTCTACTATACTTACTACTGCTACTACTACTATGCGGTGGGACTACTACCTCGACTATAACTACTACTACTACTACGACTACTACTACTACTACTACTACGACTGCCACTACTACCTACTACTACTACTACCTCTTACTACTACTACTACTACTACTACTACTACCTACTACTACTACTACTACTATACTACTACTACTACTACTACTACTACTACTACTACTACTACTACTACTACTACTACTACTACGACTACGTACTACTACTACTAGTAAGTAGTACTAGTACTAGTAGTAGTACTACTAGTACTAGTAAGTAATACACTACTACTCTACATTGACTACTACTTACTACACTACTACACTATACTACTACACTACTACTACTACTACTACTACTACTACTACTACTACTACTACTACTACTACTACTACTACTTACTACTACTACTACGACTACTACTACGACTACTACTACTACTACTACTACTACTACTACTACTACTACTACTACTACTACTACTACTACTACTACTACTACTACTAACTACTACTACTACTACTACTACTACTACTACTACTACTACTACTACTACTACTACTACTACTACTACTACTACTACTACTACTACTACGACTACTACTACAACTACTACTACTACTACTACGACTACGACTACCACTACTACTACTACTACTACTACTACTACTACTCCTTCTCCTCCTTCTCCTCCGCCTCGTTCTCCTCCCCCTCCTCCTGCTCCTCCTCCTCCTCCTCCTCATCATCACCATCATCATCATCATCATCATCATCATCATCATCATCATCATCATCATCATCATCCTCCCCCTCCTCCTCCTCCTCCTCGTCCCCAGACGCTCCAACCTCCTCCTCCTCCTCCTCCTCATCATCAACTTCCTCCCCCCGCTAGTCCCCACCCGTTCCTGGGACGCCCCCGTGGCGCAGGGGGCCGCAGTCTATCGGCCTCCCACGGGGGGTCCGAGCAGACTGAGTCGGAGAATCGCGCCGCATCGGCGATGCATCGGCGATGCGGCTCGACATGGACCCCGATCCTCTCCATATCGACGTGCCGATGCATTGGCGACGTCCACGATGCGTCGTCGATGCGCGATGCAGCGCGATCTTCCGACCTCATTCGCTCGGACCCTAGCCATAAGCGGGACGGATTCGTCTAGGTGGACCCTGCCAGATCAAGGCTTACACTCGTGTCCCGTGCTGTGCGACCTATATGCCTTCTGCATTCCTATAGGGCAGTGTGGCCCTCGGAAGGGTCTTCTGGACGGGGCCAGGCCGAGGACAGCTCCATTCCAGAGCGTCCTGGAACGCTCTCAGAGCGTTCCCGGGACGCCCTGGGAAGGCCGCGGCGCCCGATGCACCCTCCAGAGCCGCCAGATCTCAGAGATTCCGTATGTATCCTCACCCGGTTTTGTCCCCACCCGATTTTCCTGGCTTCGTCTTATCCTGTGTCCTCTGACGTGTCCTCTCCGATCATCACCCCGACCGTAGGAGATCCCTAAGAAAGGCGCGCTCGGCCGCATCGACTCGGACCCCGCGCGGGAGGCCTGGGCCCCATGGTGGCGCGAAAAATCAGGAGGGGAAACGACACACACACACAGACAATCAATCGGCGATTCCGAGGAACGCGTGGCAACATCTAGGAAGTGGGCGGGAAGACGAACAAAAACACAGAACGTGTGGGAGATATGCGAACCCCTGGGACTTAAGCCTGTTTCTTCGTGAGGAGGAGGGGGAGGGGAGGGGGAGGGGAGGGGAGGGGAGGGGGAGGAGGAGGAGGAGGAGGAGGAGGAGGAGGAGGAGAGGAGGAGGAGGAGGAGGAGGGAGGAGGAGAGAGAGGAGGAGGAGGAGGAGGAGGAGGAGGAGGAGGAGGAGGAGGAGGAGGGAGGAGAGGAGGAGGAGGAGGAGGAGGAGCAGCAGCAGCAGCAGCAGCAGCAGCAGCAGCAGCAGCAGCAGCAGCAGCAGCAGCAGCTTGGGAGGCCTGGGAGCCCTGGTGGCGCGAAGCAGGCCCGGGAGAGCGCACCCCCCCCGGGGCCGTGGCCGCCTCGGCATGGCAGCGCCCGGCCTTCGGCGCCACCCTCGACTACTACGAGGCCTGGGCGGCGCTGCAGGGCGAGCTCCAGGATCGCCTCCTCCTCCCCTTCCTCCTCCTCCTCCTCCTCCTCCTCCTCCTCCTCTTCCTCCTCCTCCTCCTGATGTTCCTGTCCCCTAGCCCCGGACTTTTCGACGAAAGAAACTGAAGCGGCTAGGAGGGAAACCCTGGGATACACCCCCAGGGAGCTATTCGGACGCACCCCGACTTTTCGACGAACAAATGGGCGATGCAAAACAACGGGGTCGTCTTCGCCGTCATTGGCGCGTGAGCTGCCCGCGTAAGGCTGCGCTTGAGCGCCCTCGTCTTCCATGTGGTGTGCCGCGCTGGCGGCCCGCGTAAGCCGCCGCGTGAGGTCGCCATGACATCTGCGTGAGACCCGTTTTTCTCCGCCGCTCAAATGCAGCGGCTACGAAAAGGACGGAAACCCTGGAATACACCCCCAAGGGTACACCCCCAAGGGGGCTATTCGGACGCACCCCCATCCATGATGGACGCCCCCCACCTCGAATATCCCAGGATTGGGCCCCGGATTCTTGGTCCATTCGATAACCCCACGAAGCATGGGCTAGGGGTCGAAATATCACCTGTTACCTTGCATTGCATCTTCGGGGGACCTCGTCCATCCCCCAAATTGGTGGCTTCTCTTGTGCCCGATGCGGAACCGATGCGGACTCAGCGCGGCTTGGCGTGGATTATCAGCACGGACTCGACCTGGACTCGGCGCGGCTTCGACGAGTCTGGCATGGATTCGACACGGATTCGACGCGGATAGGGGCGCGACCAGACAGACAAGGTTCAGGAGGGACAAAAAGCACACATGCACAAATAATCGTCGATTCCCTGGACAATGTCGGCAAGCATGGGAAGTGGGGTGGAAAACTAAATGTTTGGAAATCTGGATGAGTACGGGAAATCCTGGGACTCGTGTCTAGTTATTTGTGTGTCCCTGGGGACCCCTGGAAAGGTCCCCCGGCAATGCAACCATGACTCGAGGAAGAAACATCGCCATAACACAAACTTTTGGCGCTCCAGGCGGATGTCTTGGATCTGCGCTTTTTCCGAAATCCTGAGTGGGGTTCTTCTTTTCCTAGAACGCCCTCTCCTTCTCCTTCTCCCGCCTCCCTACCTCACCATACCATACGTATTATATCAGACCTTACCTACCATACACTACTTATCAATACCATACCACTTCCATACCTGCCATACCATACCTGCCACATACCGTACCTACCATACTATACCAGCACCATACCTGCCATACCATGCCAACCATGCCACACCACCTGCCATACCATACCACACCTACAAAACCAAAGCTAAAGCTACCATACCATACCTACCACTCCAGGGAGGCCACGCCGGAGCGAGGACAGCATCGGGATACCATACCATTTACAAGGTTTCGTGCCCCCCCCCATCCAGGGAGGCCCCGCCTGAGCGAGGAGGGTGTTCGAAAACCTTGCTATGTATCAGGTGTCGTGCCCCTCCCACTCCTCCAGGGATGCCCCACCTGAGCGAGGAGGGTATTCGAAAACTTCGTTATTTGATAACTTGTGTGCCCCTCCCACCCCTCCAGGGAAGCCCCGCCTGAGCGGGAGGGTATTCGAAAACCCTGCTATTCATTAGGTTTCGTGCCCCTCCCACTCCTCCAGAGAGGCACCGCCTGAGAGAGGAGGGCATTCGAAAGCCATGCTATGTATCAGGTGTCGTGCCCCTCTCACTCCTCCAGGGAGGCCCCGGCTGAGCGAGGATGGTATTCGAACATTTTGTTATTTATCAGGTTTCGTGCCCCTCCCACTCCTCCAGGGGGGCCCCGCCTGAACGATGAAAGCATTCGAAAACCATGCTACTTATCAGGTTTCGTACCCCTCCCAGTCCTCCAGGGAGGCCCCGCCTGAGCGAGGAGGGCATTTGCACGCCATGCTATGTATCAGGTGTCGCGCTCCTCCCATTCCTTCAGGGAGGCCCCGCCTGAGCGAGGAGGGTATGCGAAACCCATACTGTCTCAAGGTTTCGCGCCCCCCCCCCCCCCTCCAGGAAGGCCCCGACAGAGCGAGGAGGCTAACCCCCCCACCCTCCTTGCCTTACTTGCTCTCCCACCTTCCCCTCCATCGCCGTTTCTCTTTTACCCCCTGCTCCTCCCTCACCCCTTTCACCCTTCCATTGTTCCCTTGTCCTTCCTCTTCCACGTTCTGCCTTTCCCCTCAACGCCCTCCCGCTCCGATTGCTCGTCCTTCTTCCTTCCTCATGCTCCTCCTCACCATCTTCCTCTTCTGCCTCGTCACCTTCCATCACTCTACACTTCCTCCGCCGCCTCTTCCCTCCCCCATCCCCATTCTTCTACGTTGTCTCCTCCTCCTCCTCCCGTTCCCCAGATTTGGGCATATTTCGAGCTCTCCTGGTTTCTGAAATGTATCAAGCATCCTGCCCCTCCCACCCCTCCAGAGAGATCCCGCCAGAGCGAGCAGGGTATCGCGGCACACGTCCCGCCATCTTCCTGCACCTTCTGCGCCCCCCCCCTTCTAAGTCCGCGCCCTCCCCCCTCTGAGTGAGTCCGCGCCCCCCTCGAAGTCCGCGCCCCTCTACGTCCGCGCCCCGTTAGCCTTTTTGTTGTTCAACAGGACGAGCGCCTCCTGGTGCCGCTGCGGCTGGCGCCGGGCGACCTCGTCGCCTTCCAGAACCACCGCGTGCTGCACGGCAGGCGGGGCTACGCGCGCGGCGCGCGGCGCCACCTGCAGGGCGCCTACCTCGACGTCGACGCGCTGCGGAGCCTCCTGCACGGCTCCGGGCCTCGCTCGAGGGACGAACGGCGGCATAGACTCCAAAACGTTCCCGGGTCCGCGCGGGCTCCTCGGATCGGAGGGGCTCGTCCCGATGCCTCCGATTAGTTTCGCTTTGGATTTCGACTTCGATTCTTTCCCATTCCCGATTCCGATTCCGATTCGATTCGACATGGGTCTCGGATTCGGGCTCCGAGTTTTCATTGGAGGCCTACTAGCCTGCCGATCTCCTCCGGTTCAACTCTTCCCCACTCTGCTGCCGATCTCCCCCGATCCGATTTATTTCGATCGCCGATCCGACGTATCGATTCGATCCCGGGCTTTCCTGGATCGACGCTGAGACCCGCCTCCCTGGCTCGCGCAGCGCGCTGGGGGCGTCGCCTGAACAATAGTCAGGGGACGATTTCTCGTGCATTTTGAGCATTTGATTCCAACATCCGCCTGTAGGAGGACTTGCCCGACCCCAGTTTATGCTGCTTTTGCTGTTCCTTGACTGTCGACGACGCGGCCCTGTGCCCCATCTCGAGGGAAGAGACACGCTGCCCATGACCAAGCTGTTGCGGGGCCTTGTCGACGCCGTTCTTGGTCCCTAGTCCGTCGCCGATTCGCGAGGGCGATCCACGAAGTGACGCTGACCAAGATGGACGGGCCTTCTCCTCCTCATCTTTTCGCCTCCTCCTCCTCCTCGCTCCTCGCTCCTCGCTCCTCCTCCTCCTCCTCCTCCTCCTCCTCCTCCTCCTCCACCGGCGCTTCTGCGCTGAGCCTTCGTCATGGTCACCGTTTTCTTTCCCTCCACCATCAGGGCGGCCGCCGCCCGCATCTTGGGCGCGCTCCGGGCGCAAGGCTCTCCCTGGTGGGGTCCGAGTGGATAGGTCGGAGGATGGCGCCGCATCGCCGTTGCGGCCGGATGCGGATTTCGATTTTCTCCCCGCCGATGGCGCCGATGCATCGCCGACGTCACGGATGCATCGCCGATGAGTGATGCAGCGCGATCCTCCGACCGCATTCTCTCGGACCCGATCCACAGGCGGGACTGATTCGTGTAGGTGGACTCTGCCAGATCAAGGCTTACCCTTGTGTCCCGTGCTGTGCGCCCTATATGCCTTCTGCATTCCTCGGGCAGTGTGGCCCTCGGAGGGGTCTTCTGGACGGGGCTGGGACGCGGACAGCTCCATTCCAGAGCGTCCCGGAATGCTCTCAGAGCGTTCCCAGGACGCCCTGAGAAGGCCGCGGCGCCAGATGCACCCTCCAGAGCCACCAGATCTCAGATATTCCCGATGTATCCCCGTATCCCCACCCGATGTTGTCCTCGTCCTGGCTTCGTCTCATCTCGTGTCCTTTCGCCTGTCCTCCCCTATCACCCCCGACCGTACAGTCGACGCGCATGGTAAGGATGAGCGACTTTCCCAAGGGAGCCTTGCCCTTGCCATCCTTACCTCCTTGGCCCATCCTTGGCCACTTTCGCTGGCCGCGGCCCGCTCGAAAAGCTTCCAAACGGCCTTCTAAGGCCCGTGCCTCCGTATAGTGCGTCCTTATCATACGGTTTGACTGTATCCTCACCCGATTTGTCCTCGTCCTGGCTTTGTCTTATCTTGTGTCCTCTCGCGTGTCCTCTCCGATCACCCCCGACCGTACACTGGAGACCCATACCAAGACACACCCTGTTTTCCTTCAGGGTGCCCTGGGTTTCTTCGGTTTCGATGGCTTTGCTATGGAAGGCGTGACGTTCACACACCAGGGTCTCAGGGTCTCAGAGTTGGGTTTCTTGCGGAAGGTTTCTAATGGAACAGAGGCGATCTCTAAGAAGGCGCGCTCGGCTAGACGGAGGAGGAGGAGGAGGAGGAGGAGGAGGAGGAGGAGGAGGACGATCCCTAAGAAGGCGCGCTCGGCTAGAAGGAGGGGGGAGGAAGAGGAGGAGGAGGAGGAGGAAGAGGAGGAGGAGGAGGAGGAGGAGGCGATCCCTAAGAAGGCGCGCTCGGCTAGAAGGAGGGGAGGAGGAAGAGAGGGAGGAGGGAGGGAGGCGTGAGGAGGGCGAGGAGGAGGAGGAGGGAGGAGGAGGAGGAGGAGGAGGATACGGAGATCTCTGAGAAGGCGCGCTCGGCTCCGGGGAGGGCAGCGCCGACGAGCTGCGGCGGGCCCTGCGGGAGGAGGGCGCGGCGGGCACGGCGGGCGAGGGCGCCCGCGGGGGCCGAGAGGTGCCGGGGGCGCTGCTGCGGGGCCCGGGCAGTGGCCGCGGCGGGGGCCCCGGGCCTCCATCGACGCAGGAACACCGAGGAAGAGAAAGGGGAACTCCTCCTCCTCTTCCTCCTCCTCCTCCTCCTCCTCCTCCTCCTCCTCCTCCTCCTCCCCTCCTCCCCCTCCTTTCTTCTCCTTTCCCCCTGGGGGCGCTTCGTAGGCTGCGTGCCCGAATGGGGGGTGACCCCTACGGGCCTCCATCGACGCAGGAACACCGGGGACGTCCACAAGATCCCAGTGGAGGACACTCCCCAAGATCCCAGGACGTCCATCGGTTTTCGGTGCGGGAGCGTCACGCTTGTCACAGCAAAAACCATCGAATCCCCAGAGACCCAGGGCACCCTGGAGGCAAGCAGGGTGCTTCTTGGGTGGCAACCACTGTACCTCTACCCTTCCTTTGTTTTCCCCTGCTCATACCCATACCTCTATCGGGATTCCGCAACTGGTGTGTGTGTGTGTGTGTGCCCCAGGGGGGTTTTGAGTTCGATCGGTTTTTGCCTGAACCGCCCAAAACAAATGCTTCCCAGCCGCCAGCAGCTCCCGATAGTTGCCGATACGTGGGGCATGCGGGGGGCATCTGCTTGCGGCTTTTCGGTGCACCAGCGGATCGAACCCATGCTCCCCCTCAGGGCCCACCCCCCTTTTTGGTGGATCCCGACTCTACCCTTCCCTTCGTTTTCCCCTTTTTGGGCCTCCTGGGCAGCCCTCGCCTCGACATCCTGGTCAGAACGCATCCCCCGGGAGAGTTCCGGGGAGTAGCGGCATCGGGTCCTTTAGGTTTCCCCGGGAACGCCGTTTTTTTGGGACGCGGGCAAGTCCGCTTTCGTGGAGGCGGGGGGGTCGGGTGTTGCTAGAATTAAATCGGGCATGTCTCTCTACAGGAGGAATCTTCAAAAATAGTAAAAAGTAGTCAGGGCACGATGTTTCTTTTATTTTTTGGGTTATTTTTGGATGTTTTGAATGATTTTTCATTTTTCGTCCAAAATCCGCCTGTAGCGCACGCCCGACCGAAGTGTCGCTAGAAGGGCCCCTGGCCCCAGGTTCCTCCGGGATTTGCCCTCAGGATGCCCCCCACGGCCTTCAGAGCAACCCTCACGAGGCCCCCCGGAGGGCCCCAGGGGCGCCAGCATTCGGAGGTTGATAGACCTCCTGCCCTGACACGTCGATTAGCGACTTGGCCGTTTTCGGTTCGCGAGAGGTCGTCGCGGCCGTCATTTTTGCGGGTCCAGGTCCGTCGGCTTTGGTCCCAGGCCGTTTTCACTAAAGGGTGGTTTACGAAATGCAGGTTTGTCCACCGCCGAAACATGGATCTGGAAGCTGGGGGCATCTTGGGCTAGGGGCGCTTTCAGCAACCCCCGAGGGGGGCGTGGCGAGGCCCGAAAGGAAATCGGGACTTCGCGCAAGTCGGGACTCGCTTGCAGGACCAGCGCTGTTTGTTTGAAAAGGCGGCTGCTGGGGTGGTGTGTGTGTGTGTGTGTGTCCGGGGGGTACCCTGCGAACTTGCCAGAATCTAGAGACGAACGCGCTCAAGCCAGCCTGAACATACACTTTCGGAGCTCCGCAGGGACTTCTTGGATCTGTGCGGGGCACCCCTGGCGACGCCCCTGGCGACGCCCCTGGCGCCGCCCCTTGGCTCGCCAAGGAGAGGGGTTCAGCGCAGGTCCGAGAAGTCCGCCGCGGACCTCCGAAGGTCTAGTGCTGAGTCGGGCATGGCCCTCGACCGGAGGAGTATCCCAAAATAGTAAAACAATAGTCGTTTTTTGTTTAAAACATATGTTTTAAACATATATTTTTTATTGCGATTTTTGTATACAATACTTTTGGTGAGACTTCTGACGATGTTTCATTTGTCGTCCAAAATCCGCCTGCAGGAGGGCATGCCCGACCGAAGTCTAGTGCCTGTGCTTCACCACCCAACAAACCAACCCAACCCAACCCGAAGGCCTCAATCTGCCCTCCATTTCCAGTGTGGGGGGGGGGTCGGGGAGCATTGAAAAAACACATGAAACCCGAAATTCGGGTGAAATTCGGGTCTTCGGGTTGGGTTGGGGTGGTTTGGTAGGTCGACTGTGCTGCCTTTCTTCTTCTTGCCCTTCGGCGCCCGAGGAGGACTCCGAGCTCCAGGAGCTCGTGCTCGGGCACCTGGACCGGGGACGGGACAATGACAGAAGCATACATTTTCGGAGGTCCGCCTGACTGCTGCTGCTCTTCCTCCCCCTCCTCCTCCTCCTTCTCCTCCTTTTCCTCCTCCTCCTCCCTCTCCTCCTTTTACTCCTCCTCCTTCTCCTCCTCCTCCTCCTCTTTCCCTTTCCACCCCCTCGGGAGCCTTACGACGGGGGTCAATGCAAGCGGGGGTCTGCCGGATCGCCGGATCCTGCAGGATCCTGCAGAGCCAGGGGCGCACTGACCCGGGCTTGGGTGCAGGATCCCGCAGGATCCCGCAGGATCCTGCCAAGCCTGACTGACCCAGGCCTGGCTGGGCCCCGGTCAGTAGATCCCGGGATGAGCATGCATTGTGGGAGGTCCGCGCGGATTCTTCGGATCGGCGCTGGGCCCCCCCAAACGGCGCCTCTGGCGCTGCCCCCTGGCGCGCTCCGCGCGCCAGCGATCGAGGGGGGGCCCGGCGCCGATCCAAAGAATCCGCGCGGAGGTCTCCGAAACAGAATGTCAGGCCAGCCACAACTGGGGGAGCTGTGGTCCTTACCCCCTTGGGGGACCTATCGACTTCGACACCCCTCTCGAGAGATCGTCGATGCGATGGGTTCCTCCAGGGGGGCAAGGACCACAGCTCCCCCAGTTGTGGCTGGTCGGGAATGCCCATGTCAGTGCTCGTTCCCCGGCCGGAGCGGCGAGCCGTCGCCCCCCGCTGACCAGGGCTCGGCCTGCGCGGTGTGTTGCTGGCGGTGTCGTGGGCCGCCTCCGCCTTGGCCTCGCTCCGCAACGGAGGCGGGGCGAAGGACAGACCGAGGGAGAGCGAAAGCAAAATGAGCACAAACACCACCACCACCACCACCACCACCACCACCACCACCACCACAACAACAACAACAACAGCAACAACAACAATAATAACAGCATCAACAAGTTTAAGACTGTTTGTTCTTATTCGACCGCGTGCCACGCAACGCATATATCCCAAACCCTCGATACCCGCCCTCTTTGTCTTCGGCCGTACCCCCTCGGGGGTATATCTTCCTTACCTGCCACGCACATTCATCGCAGCCCCGAGAACAGTGGAAGGGGGGACGGGTGGGGGAAGAGAAGGATGGACCACGAGAAAGGGCCTCTCGGAGCAAATCGCGAGGAAGCATCGAGCGGGAGCCCTGATCATCGCGGCTGCGCCCCCACTAATTTGATTGAGTTGCCAGGATGTCTCCAGCGAGAGCGCTGTTCCTGAGTTCGGGAACCTCTCTGGCCAGGGCCTCCAGGAGTTAATCGCTCGGAAATGTCGAGCGGGGCCTCTGCGAGCTGGGGCCTCTGTGGGCGCGCTTGAGGCCTTTGTGGGCTGTGTCGGAGGGCCCCAGTGGGCAGCGCGCGGGGGCCTCTGTGGGCGTGCTTGGGGCCTCTGTGGGCTGGGGCCTCTGTGGGCGCCTTTGGGACCTCTGTGGGCTGGGGCCTCTCTGTGGGCAGCGCGCTGGGGCCTCAGTGGACAGCGCGCTTGGGGCCTCTGTGGGCGCGCTTGGGGCCTCTGCGGGCTGGGGCCTCTGTTGGCGCGTTTGGGACCTCTGTGAGCTGCGTCGGGGGCCTCAGTAGGCAGCGCGCGGGGGCCTCTGTGGGCGCGCTTGGGGCCTCTGTGGGCAGGGGCCTCTGTGCGCGCCCTTGGGGCCTCTGTGGGCTGTGCCGGAGGGCCTCAGTGGGCAGCGCGCGGGGGGCCACTGTGGGCGCGCTTGGGGCCTCTGTGGGCTGGGGCCTCTGTGGGCTGCGTCGGGAGCCTCAGTGGGCAGCGCGCTGGAGCCTCTGTGGGCACGCTTGGGGCCTCTGCGGGCTGGTGCCTCTGTGGACGCGCTTAGGGACTCTGTGGGCTGTGTTGGGGGGCCTCAGTAGGCAGCGCGCGGGGGCTTCTGTGGGCGCGCTTGGGAACTTTGTGGGCTGGGGCCTCTTTGGGCTGCGTCGGGGAGCCTCAGTGGGCAGCGCGCTGGGGTCTCTGCGGGCTCTGTGGGCTGGGGCCTCTGTGGGCTGTGTCGGGGGCCTCTGTGGGCAGCGCGTCGGGGCCTCTGTGGGCGCGCTTGGGCCTGGGGCCTCTGCGAGCTGGGGCCTCTGTGGGCACTCTCGGGTGCCTCCGTGGGCACGCGGGGCGTGGGCTTGAGCCTTTGTGGATTGTGTCGAGAGCCTCAGTGGGCAACGCGCGGGGTCTCTGTGGGCGCGCTTGGGGCCTCTGCGGGCTGGGACCTCTGTGGGCGCGCTTGGGGCCTCTGAGGGCTGGGGCCTCTGTGGGCATTGTCGGGAGGCAGCGCGCTGGGCCCTCTGTGGGCGCGTTTGGGGCCCCTGTGGGCAGCGCGGGGGAGCCTCCGTGGGCGCGCTTGGCGCCCATGTGGGCTGTGCCGGAGGGCCTGCGGGCAGCATTTTTCGGTCCCTGTGGGCTTACTCTGGGCCTCAGTGAGTTGTGTGTTGGGGACCTCAGTGGGCAGCGCGCCGGGACCTCTGTGGGCTGTGTCCGAAGGCCTCTGCGGGCAGCGTGCTGGGGCCCCTGTGGGCTCGGTTGGAGCTTTTGTGGGCTGTGTCCGAAGGCCTCAATGAGCAGCGTGCTGGGGCCTCTGTGGGCTGGGGCCTCTCTGGCCAGGTCGTGTAGGAGTACTAAACGGGGTGTCGAGCGGGAGCCCCTGTCGTCGCAGGTGGGCCTCCAGCGCCGCTGCTGAATTGCAGTCTCGGGCCACGGGCTCTCGAAGTACAGCTTGAGCAAGTAACGAACGGAGCCCTTGTCGTCGCGGCTTGGCCCACACCAAATTGACCAAAGTGGCTGGGCCTCCGCCAACTTCGTTGAATTGCGAGGAGGTCTCGAGCGAGAGCGCCACTCTTGATTTCGGGGGCCTCTCTGGCAAGGGCCTCAGCGAATACATTTTGAGGAAGTATCGAGCGAGAGCCCTTGTCGTCGCATTTGGGCCTCCACCAATTTGATTGATTCAGGAGAAACTCTCCAGCGAGCGCCGTTCCTGGGGGGCTTCTTGGCCAGGGGCTCTCGGAGTAAATCGTGAGGAAGTATCGAGCAGGAGCCCTTGTCGTCGTGGCTGGGCCCGGCCAACTTGATTGAATTGCGAGGAAGTCTCGAGCGTGAGCGCCACTCTTGATTTCGGGGGCCTCTCTGGCAAAGGCCTCAGCGAATACATTTTGAGGAAGTATCGAGCGAAAGCCCTTGTCGTCGCATTTGGGCCTCCACCAATTTGATTGAATCAAAAGAAACTCTCCAGCGAGCGCCGTTCCTGAGTTCCGGGGGCTTCTTGGCCAGGGGTTCTCGGAGCAAATCGTGAGGAAGTATCGAGCAGGAGCCCTTGTCGTCGTGGCTGGGCCCCCGCCAACTTGATTGAATTGCGAGGAAGTCTCGAGCGAGAGCGCCGTTGCTGAGTTCGGGGGCCTCTCTGGCCAGGGTGTCTCGAGGTAAATTGTGAGGAAATATCGAGCGGGAACCGTTGTTGTCGCAGCTGGGCCTCCAAGGGCGCACTTTTGGGGTCAAGCCAACGCTCAAGCGGGAGCCTCGTTTTCAGAGAAAATGTAGCCGGCGTCGAGGCGAGAGCGCCCGGAACCGCTTCCGGAGATCAGCAAAACATTATTGCGTAGACATAAGTATTCAACAACAACAACAACAGCAGCAGCAACAACAACAACAGTAACAGCAGCAGCAGCAACAACAACAACAACAATAGCAGCAACAACAACAACAGCAGCGGCAACAGCAACAACAACAATAACAGCAACAGCAACAACATCATCCACAACAGCAGCAACAATAACAACAACAACAACAACAACAACAACAACAACAACAACAACAACAACAGCACCACCACCACCAACAACAACAACAATAACAACAACAACAGCAGCCAACAACAACACCAACAACAAAAACAACAACAACAACAGCAACAACAACAACAACAGCAGCCAACGAGAACAACAACAACAACAACAACAACAACAACACCAACAACACCACCAACAACAACAACAACAGCAGCACGCACACGAACCACAGCGAAAACGAAATGCGAGGGAAAACTACAAGAGCTGCTCTGGTCGATCCCTGCGCTGCCGCCTCGGCGGCGCCACCGCGGGGGGCGCCTCCGGCCTCGTGTAGAGGCGCGCGCGGCGCCCTCCTGCCTGCAGCGGCCGCCGTGGCCGACCTCGAGGCTCGTCCCTGGCCGCGCCGCGCCCGGGGGGGGAGGAGGAGGAGGAGGAGGAGGAGGAGGAGGAGGAGGAGGAGGAGGAGGAGGAAAAGGGAGGAAAAGGGAGGAGGAGGAGGCGGGGGAAGCGGAGGAGGAGGAGGAGGAGGAGGAGGAGGGGGAGTACAGACACAGGCCCCCCCCGAGCGTACAAATGCAGCCCCCCGAACGCGCAAACCCACCCGCCCCGAGGGCGCGGGGCAAAGATGCGGTCCAGCAGTGGCGAAGCGGCCCGGCTCGCCTGGAGGCCCACCAGAGAGTGTTCCGAGAACTGCTTGTGGTCTGCACAACGTGTCCTGAGAGCAGTTCTGGCCGAGACAGGCTGGCCTGCCCCAAGGCGCTGGGTCTACCTTTCCATGCCCCCAGGACATGTCTGGCCGAGCCTGTCTCGTCTGAAAACATCGGGCTCGTGTTCTGAGAACACTGCTATTTGTTCTTGGGGCATTCTCTGTTCTCGGAGCACTCTGGTAGGCCTGTAGGAATGCCGGGACGGTTGGTCTCTGCTCAGTACGGAGCACCCGGCACCGTCGAGGCGCTGGGTCTACCTTTCCATGCCCCCAGGACATGTCTGGCCGAGCCTGTCTCGTCTGAAAACATCGGGCTCGTGTTCTGAGAACACTGCTATTTGTTCTTGGGGCATTCTCTGTTCTCGGAGCACTCTGGTAGGCCTGTAGGAATGCCGGGACGGTTGGTCTCTGCTCAGTACGGAGCACCCGGCACCGTCGACTCTGGTAAGTCATGTCTCGCGTGCTTCCGCCCTCAGCCCATCCCGGAGGTTGTGTCTGAGAAGCAGTCCGAGAGGAGGGGGGTGGGGCTAGCATTAAGTCGGGCCTGTCCTTCTACAGGAGGAGCATCCCAAAATGATAAAACAAAATAGGCGTTTTGTTTGTTTGTGTGTGTATATCTTTCCGCATCATATATATATATATGTGTATTTATGTACAAAATCCGCCTGTTTTGGGCCAAGGACATACATCACGCTCAACAGCGTGCCCGCCAACGAAGCCGGATAGGCGTGAGGGGGCGGGCGCGGGGTGGGTCGCGGGTGAGTCGCGGGCGGGTCACGGGGTAAGTCGCGGGGTAAGTCGCGGATGCGTCGCGGGGGGGGGGTCGACGACAACACCAGCGTTCGCTCTGATTCGCTCGCGCGTCATCTAACGTGATGTGTCCCACAAACCTTCGATACCCGCCCTCTTTGTCTTTGATCGTGCCCCCTGTGGGGGGTATAACTTCCTTTCCTGCTGCGTGTAATCGGCTCAGACCTTACACTAAGAACAACAATAATGGGAATGGGAGAGAGCGTGGAGGAAGGAAGTGGAGGAAGGGACGGAGGGAGGAGGGAAGGTGGCAACAGTGAGGGAGAGAGAAGCTGGAGGAGAGAGGGATGAGCAAGAGGGGATGGCAAGGAAGTCTCAGGCGAAAGCGCGGTCTGTGAGTCAATTGCGAGAAAGTCTTGGGCGAGAGCGCGATTCCAAAGCGCCAATGGAGGGATTCGTGAAGAAGCCCTGAGGAAGTTTGAGGCGAGAGCGCGATAGCTTCATACGTTGCGAGGCAGTTCCGAGCGAGAGCGCGGTCCTTCGATATCCTGTCATGTAGTAGACGGTGGGAGCC